TGCGGAAGTGCATTCTTGTGTGGCTGTGGAGGGAGAGAATGGAAGATAGAGCTAGAGCTAGCTCAGGAATGTGAGTGTTTCCTTAATTGGACACGAGGGCCTTGAACCAGTTCCAATTGGAGTGTTTTCTTTTAGGGCCTGGTCCCTTAAGATTCCATAGTGTTTTCATTCTCAGAAAAAATCCCTTTGATTCAAAGGCCCCTTGATAGAAATAAAGAAACAGCCAGGCCTGAGTCTCTTTGATATTTGGGAAGGCAAGAGTTTATGGGCAGCCAGCTCCTAGACCTCTTTTAGGGTGAGGGGGATTCTGGCTGGAAAGAAGGAGGAATTTTCTGGGATAGTGCAGGGCAGGAGGATCATGGGCAGCTTTTGTGGGGCTGCCGAGTCCCAATGCAAGAGTGCTTTGCTCCAATAGTTTCTAGACCCAGTTTCTTTCAACCCCATCTCTCTGATACCTGCAAGGGTGATGTCTACTTACTACTTTGATTGCTTCAGGAGCCTAAAGCAGAGGTGTGTGTGTATGTGTGTGTGTGTGTGTGTGTGTGTTTATACATGACATCTCAATATATAGCTCTGGCTATCCTGGAACTAAACTTACTATGTAGCCAAGGCTGGGTGAACTTACAGAGATCTGAGATCTGCCTGCCTCTTCCTTCCGAGTGCTGGGATTAGCCTCTTGCTTGAGGGTACACAGCAAAGTAAATCAAAGACCGAAAGATTTTCATCTTTTGGGTTTGGGGTTTTTGCGCTGTCAACTGCTCATCCCGTTGATGACCAAGGTAAGAAGGTAGAGTGACATCCTCAGGCTTCTGTATTCATCGTGCACCAAGCTGAGCATGTCTTAGGAGGTGCTGGTGCTGGTATGGAGGGAGATGTGGGACACCGGAGCCACAGTAGTGGCCACTGGGCAGATCGTCACTTTTGATGCCTATTCCCTAACAGCTTAGAGCATCAATCAAGGGACTTGAGGGGGAAAGCAAAAGTTCTACCTAGAATGTACGATTCTGTAGCAGATGCAATGGACTCAGCTAACCGTGTCTTCTCCCTCGAACACCTTGGAAGGAAGTTGTACATCTGCTCAGTGCTTTCCAATGCACCGAGTGTTTTCACAACACTCCCTCATTCATCCTCACACCAGCCCACACACATTCTTGCCATTTAGAATTCTTATGTACCCAAATGAGTTTTACTGAAAAAATTGGCCCCAAACTCCCATTCTACTCACATTAAAAAAAAACCCTCAAGTCTTTTGACTGATGTCTTTAAGAAACTCCCAGGTTACCAGAGTGGGTAATAGTAACTTGTTTATTCTGCCTGCCCTGCCCTACTGGATAGCTACCAAGAGCCCTGTCTTTGCTATTGGAACCAACACGTCTGTGTTCAGCTTGCGGTTCAGCTGTTAAAACAAACAAAGGCACAGAGGCCATGGCAAGTGTGATATTGTGGGGCACATGGGCTTTGGAACTAGTAAGCCCCAGGTAAAATTTGGCTTGGCCACTAGAAGGCCTTGTGGCTGTGTCCAGGGCACTTAATCGCTGGAGACTGGATGTCTTCATTCATCCATCAAGTGTAGTCATAGAGCCTGTGACAAAGGTGTTTTGAGAGATAAACATGATAACACCTCCACAAATGTTGCTCTCTGCCTTTCCCAGCTGTCATTGAACAGGTCAAACATACTTGGTAAAGTCCCATATAACTAGCCAAAGTATAACCCTATGCACCAAACCACTAGGCAACTTAAGTGCAACACTGTACTTGCAAAACACAAGGAAACCTAATGTGGGACACATTGCTAGATTTATATGGAGACTTCTTAATTAGATGAATGGTTAGCTATCTGTCTCCTATATACACAGTTACAACCGAGACAGTTAATACTATAAGATTGTAAGTTCAACTGGGCACGATGGCTCACACCTGTAATTTCCAGCACTTGGGAGACTGAAGCAGGAGCATTGCTGTAAGTTCTAGGCCACCCTGGGTTACAGAGTGATATCCTGTCTCACACAAAAAAATCTGCTTCCACACTATGTGTGTGTATGTGTGCGCGCACATACATATATATGTATATATGACTACATGTGCATATCTTAAGTTCATTACCATTATTCTTTAAACAAAAGTGATTTTGGCAAAGGAAAAAAGGAACTAAGAGACTGGACTTCGGTGAGATTGGAAAGAGAAATAATTCTATCTAGGCTTTTTTTATTCAAGCTGAACTGCAATTCAACCCTTTGATCCCTCAGGACAAGGGGTGATGATGGAGATAATGCATACAGCTCAGGCTGGTGCATGTGGTAGGAGATGCTCACTGAATGTTGCTTGATGATCTGAGGCGTTTAGCAAGCCCAGGTCTCTCCTTTTTTCTCTGCTGTGGGCTTCTTGGCAAACACGGTGCACACTGTGGCGTGATCACGGAAAGAACATTTGACCAGTGGTCCGAAAGTGCAATTTCCATCTACATCACTTAACAGTCTGGCGACCTTAGACATGCCATTTAATCTGTTAAGTGTCATCTCGCCTGTAAAACGAGGAGCCTGGACTCAGCAACTTGGAAGGTCTCTTTCAGCTCTGAGGCTGGGGCTTGAAGTCATTTCATTTGCTGGTGTTTCTGCTTCTTCACTTATTCAAAGGCAGTGAGGGTAGAAACCTATGTCATATAGAGGAAGGACGACACAGCCTTAAAATCCCTGGTATCTTAAAGGGACAAGGAAATGCAGAGATGGGAACCAATGTAACAGAAACAACAACGTAGAAGAAACAATGTAAGCTGAGTAAGCCTACACTCTGAATTTCAGTCCCAACTCAACCTTGTCTAGTTGTGCCAAGTTTCCTAATTTATTCAGCCATGACTCATACATCTGTAACGTGGGGGCTGTGCCATTTTAATCACATCACATTCTGCTGAGAGCCAACACAGTGGCCATGTTTTGAAAAATCTGCAAGGAACTACATAAATGTAGTAGCATTGAGAACTGGCATAGATTTGGGAGTCACTCGCTATCCCAGGCTATTTTCTGCTCTAATGTAGTAACAGGTGACATTGAGCTAAATGTTCATCCATACAGTTTCTCAAAGCGTAATCATCTAGCGTTTGCTCAGTGTCTTCTGATGTAGGGGATTTTTCACAAGGCCAAGTCACTACTGTAGAGGGATGCCTTATTTCACACCCTCTTCTCCCAAGGGGCTAACTGACTTCTGTTGTGTGTGGTGGTGCCAAGGGGGTTGAGAAAGCTTTCTAACTTTTGATGGCTTCACTAGGTAATAATAAGTGCGTCTGTGACACAGTGGTATGATAGTCTTTCATCCCAAGCCTTGTGAGGGATTGCTATCCAGAGATGCAGTTAGTTCAGGGACCATCCTCATAAGATTGTCAGAAAGTCTCAGCCTAGAATCTAGCTCTCCAAACACTGGCTCCCCAGGTGACAACATGTCACATGACAGCCAATGGCATTGAGATGTTTTCCACCCTATTAAAAGGTACAAGCAACCCCTCTGCTAATAATAAGCATCCTAGACCACCTTCCATCAGCACCTGTTCATAAAGGCTGGCCCTCCACCAGACCCCACCCACAGGTCCTATAGCAAGAACAGCTCTAGGTTTATCTCAAGGAGTAGGGCCAGCCCCCTGCATTTTTCTTGTTACAGAGCTTATGAAAAATACTGCTTCTTTAGGAAGCCCAGCTTTTACTCCGGTTGAATATGTGGTTGGGGAAAAAAAGCACTTATTGCAAAATTGTTCTTACAGATTTATTTTATGTTTGGATTAATTCAGGGGCAGAGTAGATGCTGAAAATTATGAAGTCCCTTTTTTCCGTCATCCTCATGGCCCAGCAGTCTTTTGGAGGACCAGTGAGGTTCCACTTTTCTTTCACGGTTCAGACTTACTTCAACTCTCTTTTAATTGTGCTTAGTTTTCCACCACAGCTCTTTCTCCAGCCCCTTTATGCGCATGGGTCAAGGTTATGAAGCTGTTTTACAGGAGTAATTGAAACAGAGGCCACAGAGGGGCAGTCCTGTCTTCCCAGCTCTGGGGCCGCACAGCAGTTTAATCTCTAGGACAGACCTGGATCTGCAATTCCTGGGCAGTGTAGGACTCAGTCTCCTGGACATCTTTGTGTTTGCTGTCAGAACGGCTCTGGGAACTAAGGCTAGCGGGATCTGCTTGCACGCTGCCCACCCCTCACCCCCTACTCCCAACGCAAACGGTGTATGCGTGCGTGGGCGACTGTGTGTGTGTGTGTGTGTGTAGAGAGAGAGAGAGAGAGAGAGAGAGAGAGAGAGAGAGAGAGAGAGAGAGAGAGAGAGAGAGAGAGAGAGAGAGAGAGAGAGCTCCCGCGCAGTGGAAAAACCCTAGTAAGACACCACATCCTTTTTCCCACAAACAGAACCCTCCAAGGACCCCAGGACTGAAGACTTTTCGAGGAGCCAACATGCCCCCAGCCCCGCGTCTCTGAAATCTTCTTTCCCATCTTTTTCTTTTTCCTGATCTCGCCCCGGGCGCCGCGGGCTATGATCCCCAAGAGAGGCCTAGTTTGCATGGATGACCAGTGAAGAGGGTCCTGAGATGCGGGAGTCACGGAGAGACGCGGCGCCAGTCGCTCGGGTGGAGGAATGGTGCCCTCTCCCGGCGAGCTGACACGTCCCGAGTGGGCCTCAACGCCTTCCTCACGCCCACCCATCCCTGCAATCTTTAGAGTCCCGGGGTGTGCGCGGGGAGGGGGCTGCGGACACTGCGGATCTGCGGACAGGAAGCCGCGTTGACATTGAACTCCAGCTCGGGAACGCGCGCGTGTGAGCCGTGGGGAGGGGGTCGGACTCGCAGCTGCCGCGAACCAGCTCAGGCGGGGTGCAGTGCCAGGCTGGTCCCCGCCGCCGCCCCGCCGGAGGTGCGAGCGTTGAAGCCATTCATGATTTTGGTGACGTTATTCTAAGAGTGGGCGAGGGGAGGCGGAGCCGCTCTCGGACAAGCCCCGCCCCCGCTCCTATAAATGCGGCTTCCCGGGCTCTTTGTGGGACCCGGAGCTCGGTGGAGAGCGGGGAGCTTGGTCTGCACTGCCGACGCCGCTGGCAGCCGGGCTGTCTCGGGAAGGCGGACGGGAGATCGCCCAGTACCCGCTCTCGGTTTGCCCGCTGCTTTCTGTGCCCGTCATCCTCACTCGGGACGCAGTGACCGTTTTGGTGTTATTTTTTGTTTTTGTTTTGTTTTTTAAATCACAAGGGCGTGGGTCAGCCTCCCCTAGGACTTCATGTCTGTATATTTCCCCATTCACTGGTGAGTATCCTGAGCCTGCAGTGGACGCCGGTTTAACCCGGGTGGCTGCGGGGGCCCGGCAGCCTCCTAGTGCCGGCTCCGGGTGCGAGGCCAGAGTGGCACGGACACCCAGGGTTGGCTAACCCGCCGCCTCAGCCCCTGCAGGAGTCGACGTCAAGGTTGCAAAGCTGGGGGTTGGGGGAGGTGGTGCTGAGAGCATCCAGACAAAGGAAGTGAACTCGGAACCTTCACTTAAGTGGCGGCCAGAGGGTGTGGATATGGTGGCGATGGGTGGGGGAGAGCCTGGGTCCCCGCCTGAAGCCCCCTAAGGAAACCCTGTCCGCAGAGGGCGGCAGGAGATGAGTCCTGCCTGGTGCAGGGGGCTCCGGCTCGCCGGGCCCCTCCCCTTTTCCTTTTTGTTTGCACGCAAGTCTCGGCGTCGAAGACGGCTGCAGCGGGGCTGAGCTTGTGCAGCCGCCCGGGATGCAGAGCTTGGGGGTGGGGGGAGACGCTCTTCGCACACACAAGCCACAAGCAGCAGGGTGCACGCTGCACCTTCTCAACCCCTGCTCTCCGTGGCCCCTAAAATCCAAAGCGCCTTTGTGGAGGGCCCGGGTCGGGGAGGAGAGGTTCCCCAGTGCCAGATTGGAAGAAGCCGGTCACAGCTGGGTGGGGGGCTACAGAGGTTTGCTTCCAGCCGGGGAGAATTCGGTTGTGGGCATCAGATCCCAGGAGGGCCCTAGCTGCTGGGACGTGCGCGCCAGCTGCTTCTTCCTTCCTGCTGTGGGGTAGAGGGGGGGCGCTACAGGGAGATGAGTGCCCCGTGGTCCTGGAGCGCGCAGGTGCTGGCCTCGGAGAGCCGGTGCAAGGTCCAAGGCAAGCTCTGAACCCAGGGAAAGTGGGCCCTTGCCATGGCGCTGTTCTGCTTAGCCCAGGAACTCTGAAAGTTCATGTTTCTCGTTTTAACTTTTTGGGCCCGCGCCACAGTTCCAAGAAAGAACAGAAAGCCACTAAAAGCCTGGTCGCGGCCCTGTGGATACTCTCCCGACTCCCTTCTTTGGGGTTTGGAGGCATCATTTCCAGACCCGGGAGGAAACTGTGAAAGTCTATCTTTCTAAACCTAAACTTGCCTCCAAGTCAGTCATCCTCTCTTAGTGTCTTCGCACCTCCCCCCCCAGTTTGTCTTTGATTAGAGAGACCACTGAGTTTCAAAAGAAAGTAAAATTCCCCTACACTTGGAGTTGGAGTACCCCTTCATGTGCTGACAAGTCAGGTATCTTATGGGTGAGGCTTTGAAGGGTGGTGGAGGTTTTGCTCCCCACCCCCACCCCACCCCCACTCCCGTTCAAAATTCAATAAGGTAGATGCTTAGAGCCCTCAGGGATGTTAGTCCCCCACTCACCCATTAAGGCTTTCGATTATTTTGTTCTTTAGCACTTTCTATGATGTCTGCAACATTTTCCCCTCCAGACATTAACTATGTGTTGTTAGCATCTTGGTAAGGAACAGGGCTCTTGCAGCTCAGAAAGGTTCTATATTCTGTAAAAGATCACACAGCTCTTAAGTGGTAAGGGCTCTCAGAACTGAATGCTTTTATTGCCAGGGCCAAATACCATTTCTACTCTATCATGTACATAAAAAAAAAGAATATTCTTGTCTTCCTGTTTTCATAGATGTAGTCTCTCTAAAGCCTGCCCCTGCCTTGCCTGCTCCCTTTTTAAAACCACGTGCTCAGACATGATAGTGAAAACACTGGGTGCGTATCATGAGCCCCTGGATTTGGCATGTGTATATTTGTCACTGTGCACACTGAACTCTGTGTGTGCCCAGGGGCTGGGCAAGGATAATGGACTGTTTGTACCTTGCTTAGAGAGTGCAAAATACTTTCACATGTAAGCTATTGGTGGGCCAGCTTGGCCCCTCTGGAAATTTCCTTGCAATCAGAATCATTGTATCTATCCTTCAGGCTTTTAATCCAGGGGATGTTTTTCATGCTGGGAGCTAGTAGCAGCTGCTGCTAGGGCTACAGAAGTGGGTAGGATAGCAGATGGGAAGTTTGGGGAAAAGCTGGCTCCTTGGGGTGGGGCATTTGCCTAAAGGGGCACCAGACAGAGACTGAGAAGAAGGCTCCATGTCTAACCCGAGGCTGGCCTGTTATTGTTATGTAATTCTGCTGTGCAGTTCCCATTGGAAATTCATGGGCAAGATTATTTTCATTCTTAGTGGAAGAGTGAGGAGAGACCTAGCTGTGTTAGTTTCATGGAAACACACACACTCAACTACCTATCCTGTGTGTGTGTGTGTGTGTGTGTGTGTGTGTGTGTGTGTGTGTGTGTGTGTGTGTGTTGTTTCTAATTTAATAGAAAATCCAAGGTTGCTTTGTGTAGGGTTTGGTGGTGGGTGGAGAAGTTGCAGAGAGGGGGCTTTGTCTGTCTCTGGGGATGAGCAAGCCACAGAGCTGTGGGTTTGAAGGTTGCTTCCTCAGGTGAGCTTGTTTTGCTGTGAGCTGTTTGAGTATCTCTCATCCTATCTTTAGCCCATCCCTGATCTCAGGGCCACAAAGTTGCTACATACGTGCCTGTGTCTATATGCTGACTTCTGGCCTGACTCTCTTCGCAGCCCTGACTACCTGAGATCTGCTGAGATGACTGAGGTGATGATGAGCACCCCATCCATGGAGGAGATTGGCCTCAGCCCCCGGAAGGATGGCCTTTCCTATCAGGTGTGTTCAAACTTCTTAGGGCCTGTACTTTTCTCTGGGACTGGAAGTAAGCATGGTTTGGGGAATCCCAATATCACCTGTAAGTGTTTGGGGATCCCGGTGTCACCTGTAAGAGCCATGTCTCCTTGAGAAAGTCCTTGACTGCCAGTGAGCCCTAGTTTCTTCATTTGTAAAATGAATCCTGTAGGATTATGATGAAGAGGGTGGGTTTCGGGCAGTTACAGTGCCTGGGACACCTGGGTTCACTGACATCACTGCTTAGCCATCCTGATTCTCCCAGTATCAGCAGAACTCTCTTCCCAGCCAGGCCTTATGCGATAAAAACACAGCTGATGGGGAAGAGTGGTCTGATAGGGGAATCGCCACCTGTCTTTTCAGAGTGATGGCTGACTGGCTGAGTCAACGTTCACGTTAAAACTACACATACACAGCTGAAGAGAATGCTTTCTTAGGGATGCTGATACGAGAGTGTAGCATAGGGATCATCCTGTCTAGTGGAGAGAAATTCATAGGACAGCAAAAAAAGAGAGTGGGGGCCTCCTTTCTTACTCTTGGACGGTGCTATTTAAGGGGAAACCTCAACGTCATGGGAAAGTGATATCACCTCAGCCAGCAACAGAGCATTTTGGTTACCTCCCGGAGGGACAACTAGTTTTGGATCATCTGAGAGTCCCTAGATTGCCAGTTTTGGAGGAGAGAGGTATCTGTAAGGGAATATTTTGAGGCTCAGGTATTATGTACAGCTGCCAGCCTGGGCACGAGCGTAAACAATTTGTACATGTTACTTTGTCCATTTCCTGCTGGAGCTCCCAAAGGAACACCCACCCACCTTTTACACTGAGGCCCTAGCCCAGCCCTATTTGGTGACTTGGATCTCTGCTTCTGATGGTTTTGATTTTCTGACGTAATCGTGTCTTCACACTGGGCTAGTTCTGCTTGAGTGTAGACTTACTCGGGCTGCTTATGCCTTAGAGCTGCTTCAGGGACACTTCTTTCGTAGAGAATGAAGCAAATAGAAAAGCTGGGATGGGTGCCATGTGATGGGAGGAGAGTAATCAAAGAGAAGCCAAGATAAAAGGGAAGGCTGGGAACATGGCTTCAGATACCAGACGTGCTGGGGAGGTTCAGGAGGCCCTTTGTTGTATGTCAACACGTCAGGCCTCACTTGTTGGCTGCAAATAAGGATCCCAGGGGTGAGGGACCTAAGGGAAAATAGTTTTTTAAGGCTGTTCTTTCTTTTCCTGGAGAGGGACTAAGGAAGGCAAGGGAGGGCTCCATGACCAGGTGGGAAGTATGGAAGTCCCCAGGTTCACCTGCTGGGTGATTTTGGATACCAGTTTCTAAGCCCGTGAGTCAGACTAAATATCTTGGTTACAGGTGAGGGCATATTTCAGTTCCGGGTTGTAGATTTCCACTGCAGAATCTTTCCATCCAGCTGCAATTGTCAGTACGTGTGTGTGTGTGTGTGTGTGTGTGTGTGTCTGTGTGTGTGTCTGTGTGTGCTTGTGTGTGTTTGTGTGGTGTTATTCTCCTTTAAACACTTCCTTAGTAGTCAGGCAGTCTTAGCCCTACACCTCTGTGAGTACATTCTAATAGATAGGAGCCTTACTGTAGGTGACATGGAGGAGGGGACTGCCATGCTAGGTAAAGAGGACTGAATTGCGGCTGCAGTGGCTGGAGACAAACAAACTCATTTCTGGGTTCTTCTAGTGTCTGGACACCTGAGAAAAAGACCCTTAAAGACCTTTCTTATGGCTCAGTTCCCACAGCCCCCAGAAAATCAGCCTCTGTTCCCTGGGTGGGGACTTCTGCCCAGTGTTCAAATATCTTACTTGGAACTTCAAAGCACATCTTGTCATAGATGATTTCAAAAAAGGCTCTTGGCTGTCCAGTGCAGAGAAAAGGGAAAGTTACAGTGTTTAGCCAAGCAGCATTTACCAGGCATTTTCTGCATTTCATCTGATGTCCTGGTTACAGCATCCAGGGCCTGGGGCTTGTGGGAAGCAGCATGCATGCATACTTCTGAAACATACCCAGCCCTGGTCAATCTATGTGCGGGCACTGGTGATGCCATCTTATAGAGTCTGAGATGTCATGAGACAGGGGATCAGCAAGGGCTGAAGGAGAGCCTTGGGGGGCAACCCCCACTCACACATGTAGTTTCACGGAGCTTCAGATGCCCCTTGGCAGCCTGTGTATGCCAAGTATGGGGCTCCACTGTGAGCTGGTTTGGCAACTGATGGGTACTCTCTGGACCCCCACAAAGCTGGTGCCATCAAATTAAAAGCTTTCCCACCAACGCCCTGGGACGTGGCTGGGCCTGGCTCTTGGCTAAAGCCTGTCGCCCTGCATGCTTGGGATCTGCTTGGAGCTAAGGGTGGGAACTCAGTGCTCTGTTCTTGGCTTTACTCCTGAGGATAATAATAGTATGAGGCTTTCACTGAGACCTGCTTTTCCAAGGAACTGAGTAAGGGCAGGAGACATCAATCCTAACTTGGCAGATGAAACAGAGGCTCAGGCTTGTAATTTGACCTTGAAACAAGGTCATCATATAAGTGATCCAATGGACTTGCAAGTCATTCCCCTACCTTCCAGACCCACACTGAATTAAGTTTTCCTGAGTTCCCTGTATTGTATATGGCCATTCTTTCAATGCCTATGCTTGGGGTTGAATTTTAAACTACCCAGTGATGCTGTGCTAGGTTTTCAGGATGTGGGCCCTGCATTACCTTCCCAATGCCAGGTCTTTAATGGCAGGGGAAGGTAATGGTGCCTTGTTATCAGGTCTGTATCCTTTTCCCATTGTCCTTTCCTCACTCAAGTGCTTACATGCTTACAGAGCTGGTATTAAGGGAAAGGGCTCCTGGTTTGGAAACAAGTCACCTTTACATCTGTGGCGGCCTCTGAAGGTATAGGCCAAGCCCTCACCTATCCAAGCTCTGAATGCATATCCTTTTTATCCTTTGAAGGATCTGGGTTAGCCTTTTATTATTGTCTAGAAATTCATACCAATAATACTTTATTGCCTTGTATTTTGAGACAGTCTCATGGATTCCCCAGAGTAGCCAAAGGTGGCTTTAAAACCATAATCCTCTTGCTTCCAACTCTTGAGTGCTGGGATTAGAGGCCCAGGCTACAATGCCCAGTTTGTGCAGTGCTGGGGTCAAACCCAGGGCCTCCTGAGTGCCAGGCAAGGACTGTACCAGCACCGAGCTACATCCTCAGCCTCAAGAGTTCATGCCGTTTTGTGAGCATGTGTAAAAATCTGGAGCCAATGCCGTGTTTTCCCTTCAGATCCATCTGGAGAGTCATTGAAATAAGTGAAACCCACGTGGCACATTTATTTGGCAGGAATGATCACACCCCACGGGGTGGGTGAGCAAACGATTACTAGAAAGCCTAGTGCATTTAGCTCAAGCTGTGGGCAGCAGCAAGCTCGCAGAGCCGTGTAGGAGGGTCTCCGTCAGGATGTTTATGTCCTTGAGGGCTGTAGCTCCATCCCCATGCTGCGTCTACGGGTTTCCCAGTCAGCCACCAGCCTATGGGACAGGAATGTGTGCCACCCAGTGTAGACCAATCACTGGATGCCTGGTGGAGCCTGCTCCTTCTATGGACCCACGGCCGCAAGAATGTGATATGGAAGGATATGGCTTTCCCTGGGGATTTCCTCTCAAATTGACCTGCGCTCTGTACGGGGAAGCGTCCTGATGAGTTACCTGTGAGTTCTTCTACTGATGGACCCCAAGGAGCCCTGGCATGCTAACCTTGCCCCCTACTTCTCCTGGCACAGTGTACATAGACTGTACTATTTTTCTCACCATGTTCAAATCTATGCACAGTTTAGGGTGCCTTAAGATTTAAACCTCAGCTTCTGGTCCAAGGTTTGATACCTTTATCTTTCCCTTGACTCCTTTCGTTTTTATATTATTTGTTGATAGACAAGGTCCCTAGCTCAGGCTGGCCCAGAACTCTCTGTGTAGGGGAGGGTGACCTCGAGCTTCAGACCCTCTCATGAACTGTGTCACCATGTCTGCTATTGTGGCGCTGGAGAGCAAACCCAGAGTCGCGTACATTCTAGATGCGCCCTTGGCCAGCTGAGCATACAGCCCTCCCGACGCTCTTCTTTCTTTGGTTGTTGCAGTATCCCACCTGCTATTACTTTTGGCCTTGCATGCCTGCCTTTGACATCATCTCAGGCAGGCACTTTGGCTCTCCTTTCCAGAAGGCCATACTGGAAACCAGAGGGAGCGCTTTCTTCACACACCCCGCTGCTCCTGAGTCCCTCCCTCCTCCCCCACACTCATGCCTTGCTTTTGATCTGTAGAGCTAAGGGCTTCCTGCATCTTCCCCATCATCTCCCAGGGTAAAGAGAGGGACAGTGGTGGGTTAACCTTTCTTGTCACTCCTTAGGTGTTTGCTTCTTGCAGCCAGGAATCTTAGTGTGGCTCTGCCCTGGAGCGAGGACTGCAGCACTCAAAGATTACGTGCAGGATAGTATTCTGCAGGTTCCACGGTCACCAGGAAATCATCCTTCACAAACAGCACACTTTTAAAAAGCCTCAGTTGTCCCCAGAGAGACATAAAGCTAAAACGCCGAACGCCTGTGGCAGAAGATTGTCATCCATAGACAGGACGCATGGCTGGGATCATGGCAATTTCTCTTTCTCCTCCCACCTCTCTCCCAGAGGAGATGCACAACAGTCTGTCCATTGGACTTAGAAGCCTGAGTTGTCTCATCTGAGCGACGCTGGCTCTTTCTAACCCAACACACATCTTAGCACTGCAAGTCTTCTTGGTAGGCTAGTCCAGAACCTTCCTTTTTGTCTTAGAAGCTGACACAAAGGTCATGTTCACTGTTGTGGAAAGTCCCTGGATTAGGGCCTGCGGATGGCTGGGATTGTTCCCATGGGAGACTTTGTCTTCCCTACCCCCATGGACACAACAGTGTGTTTGTGCCTGGCCATAGAGAGAGCAGGCTTTTTTTTTTCACAGCCAGCCAG